AAAAGGAATAACATCTATGGATTGGGGTAGCTGGCCTTCTTGTCTTGCATCTGTTGGGTTGCTTTGAGTAGACTGAAGATTATTGGCAGGTCGACCCACATCCCCTTGTCTTTCAGATTGACTGGCCCCAACATTAGTGTTGTGAGTCTGTTCTGCTGCTCCCCATTGAACGGTGACTAGGTGGTTATCATACAGATTTCCCTCATGAATGTTGGTATCTAGTCGCCCACTATGACGGGGGATCTGCCGCTGCTCCTCCACATTAGCATCTTTAGATTGTGAATTTGAATCTTTGTCATTGTAACTTCTGACCAATTTGTCTTTATCTTTCTTCTTACATAAATCACTTGAACCGTCAATAGAAGTTAAGCCCTTTCCTTTTTCGTCGTCTGCAAATAAACGCTGAAATCTTATGAGTTGTTGATTCTGAAATATATTTAACCCATGATTTAAAGAGCCTCCATGTGTAGAATCCAATTGCGGGATGAGCTCTGCATCAGTAATCCACTCTCCAAATCTTTGTGATGGAATATCCCCAGCTGAAACTCCCCTTTTGTGCCTTTCCAATATAATCTGATTCCTAAGAGGGCATCCCTGAACATTGTGGAACATAATTCCACAGAAAGAGCAAATCCTTCCAATCTTCTCATAAAACAGATAGGCCAGAGCAGATGATTCATTTGGAAAGGTTACCATAATTCTATCCTTAATAGCATCATTGATCTGTAACTTGGCAGTGCCCCACATATACTCAGCTCTAGTAAATAACATTCCTTGGTGCAAAGGATGAAATTCAGAGGGCTCTCCCACTTGTTCTAAAATGCTTCTTAACAATTGAATCGATCTGAATCTTGTTGGGACTCCATAAATTCTGACAGTCACATATATAGTGTTGAAACAATATTTCCCCTTTTCTTTTGCTTCATCCTCAGGATCAAGCCACTCAAGCAGTAGATTGTCAGAACCCATAATCCAAGGCTGCCTTGTAATAACAAACATCATAGCATCTAAAGTTCTGAAATGCGCCATGAACATTGATCTAGATACCTGTGATATTCCGTGATAATTGCTTCTCCAAGCTCTGGCCATAGCCTGCTGCAAGGTTTGCAAACTGAGAACACGAGCTGGGGCCATTCCAGTGGCTGCAAGAATGATGAGTATGTTGTACTTCGCATCTGCTCCTACTTCCATAGTTTCTTGGACAGCTTTGACAGAGGCAACTTTCGGATCTTGTAGGTTGAGGGCCTGCAAATCCAGAGAAAGGTCCGTCTCCATAGAAGATTGAACAGTATGTGTAGGTGGAATTGTAGAATCAATCCGCAAGACAGGAAGGGGTTCCTGCTGAGGATTCATCAGAACCGTGAAAGAAAAGGAAGAGAAGGCTCTCCTCACCGGATCGAAAAAAGGTGCTGATCGATTTAAGAACCGAAGCAGAGGATGTGGCGGAAGGGAAAATGAGAGTTAGATTGGGGAAAAGGAAGGGAAAGAATCGAAGAAAGAAGGATTGAGGGAGAAGGGATTGGATAAATCTAGAGAAGGGAATAGTCTAGAGCGGCATGGAGCCAGTCGCCTAAGCGGCAAGTCGGTCATTATATACACCGTATCAGTCCTGCATTGTATACAGGCGATACAACATCGGCTGGCCGCGTACACCATACAAGCGGTACAACATCGGCCGCCCGCGTACACAGAGTATAGCCGCCAACGTACAGCCGTAATATCGGTCGTCCGTGTAGTATAGCCCCCAACGTACAGCATCAGTGCGTCCGCCTACAGAGTACAGCAACGACCACGCCATAGGCTGCCCATGCACACACCTCACTCACATCACGTACACGGAGGCACGCATGCACGCGCAGCTCACTCACACCACGTACACGGAAGCCCATGCACTGCTTTTGGGAGGACAGCGCCTCAACGAGAGAAAATGTTCTGTTCGCCCGCGGGTGGATGCGCATGTCCGTGAGATTTTTGCGTGTGAGCGGAGCTGGATTTTAGAGGTATATTCCTAGTATCTAGCTATCCCTATTCTATCTTATCCCAGCTCGTCCACAAACCAAACGACTGCTATCCAATAAAATATAGCTATCCCTGTCTCTTGAGTGGCTATTCCGTTAACCAAACGCACCCGAGAGCGCCGGGCACTCCGTATATAAACATTCGGATGGCGGCAGTACATTTCTGATAAGAGAAGAAATCAATCTTTCCAACGGCATCCTCTTTACACTAGAAATAGTCATCATAGCCGACCACCCCCTCTCTAATACGGTTGAAAAGATGCCTACTCATACGGAAACGGCGACGAAATTTCTGATGTTTGAACAACAGATCTGTTGTATCAAAGTAGTCCTTTCAAAAAAGGAAACGCCCGCTCCCTCGGTTGCGATTCAACGCCGAAAGATGGCTCGGAATGGAGCCACGAAACAACGGTCGCTGGCTATTTAGGTGGTGATGGACCAACACGGCAGCCAATATCTCCTCCTCGTCATCAGACGATGAATCGTCGGTGTCGCAAAGGAAATTGTGAAAAAAGAACTCGTCGACGGAGTTCATTTTGTATCTTGACAAACTGTCGAACAACTTGCGGGCATCGACGAAGGAGACGGCCGGCGAAGGGAGTCGCGACGCGCACAGACCAAGCTAGCTGCCCTGCCGGCGTCCGACGAGCGTGCCGATGAGGCTCTGGCCGGGGCGGCGAGGCGGCTTCTTGGTCGCGGTCACGGGTGTGTGTGTG